CAAAAGGTTGCACAGATATCCGCTTTTCCCAATAAACCAGAGAGATTCGTGCATAATTTGTCGGATAGGCAGCTATCTCGTATAGAAACGGAAGCTTTATCAATGGGATGGAAGTTTTGTTGCCCCCCGAAGACAGTTAACCGAATAGATTTGGAGGTGCAATTCGAAAGCCTGATGGGTCAAACAAGAGATTTGATACCTAATTCAGACGAGGACTTGGAAAGGTTTAAAAGTGTTCTGGTGACAAGTTGCTATAAATACCGAAAGGTTCACGTACACAACCGCGGACCGCTTACACGTCAGCATATAAACGCTTTGAGGGAACTCAGAAAGAACAAAGACATCATACTGCTCAAACCAGATAAAGGCACCGGCGTGGTTATTATGAACACAAATGATTATGTTCAAAAGCTCTCTGAAATAATTTTGGATGACAGAAAGTTCTCTAGATGTAACAAAGGAAAGGATGAGACAGAGAAAGTGGAGGGTGAAATCACAGATCTACTGAAGGTGTTAAAGTTACAGGGGCACATAGACAATGCTGCGTACGAGAGACTGAAACCATGTGGGACCACCATCCCTCGACTGTATGGTCTCCCGAAGATCCATAAAGAAGGAGTTCCAGTAAGACCTATTATGGCAATGATAAATTCACCATATCATGCAACAGCGCAGTGGTTGGTCGAATTATTAGAACCCATTCGTCGTAGACTCGCCACACACAGTCTCCGAGACAGTTTCCAGTTTGTAGGCAAAATAAAAGACCTGCATCTGCAAGAAAAGATGATGTTTTCCTTGGATGTGGTTTCATTGTTCACTAATGTACCCTTGCTGGAGACAGTTGAATTCATTTGTGATCAAATAAAAGCATTGAATGTGGAAGTTGGTATTCCGGTTACCAATCTAAAAGAACTGCTATTACGCTGCACACGTAACGTCCAGTTTCTATTTAACGGTAATATCTATCGTCAAATAGACGGGGTTGCTATGGGATCGCCACTGGGTCCGTTGCTAGCTGACATCTTCGTGGCTAAACTAGAAAGGAGCACGCTGAGTCAAGCTATTGGAGGA